TTTGCATGCCTGCAACAAAGTTTACTTCCTTTCACTATTCTGGAAGAAGCCTTTTAGAAGACTGGAGAAGATGATATCTGAAAGCTCAGAGTAGTTTGACATTTTTTCCACGTTTCTTAAGGACAGGTAGTTAAAACATAATTTAAATGCATCATGGATCAATTAAATGTATAAAGATCTTTTTTTCTGTGTGTGTGTGATCTCTATCTTGAAACTTGGTTTGTTTTGCAAATCTTCATCAACAGATCATTACCATTCTTTCAGAACAACTTTTCTACGCAGACAGAGGCAGTTGACATCTCTCTACTGCAAGAGACTTTTTGATTTTGTTCATAAGATATCTTATTCCATGGTCTTCCTTTCCTTCCTCAAGCCTGGATATCAAATGTGGTTGAATTCAGGAAGGAAGCATGCTTCCCTGTTAGAGAGGAATAGCTGTTCGTCTAGTTTTTTGGTCTAAACTGATCCATAGGTCTCCAGAGATCTCTCTGTGGCCAGTGTAAAATAACTGAAAGAAGCAGTTACTTTTGACAGTATGTTTAAACAAGATATATAGAAGTCCACCCTTCCATCAGGAATCTTGACAAGTAGTTGTTTTTTTTCATATATGGAGTAGAGTATTGGAAGAAAGAAGATGAAAATTGAAGGAATAAGGTAATGAAGAGATTTAGAGGCAGTAACAACTAAAGTTACTACAGAACATAGATGGACAGTGTTCACTGGAAAAACATTTACAACAGAAAAGAAAATGGAAAAGCTACGAGTGTAAATTTCATCGGAACAGTGATTTGAGCATGTTGTTAAATCAGTAATAACTGTATTGTATTATAATACTGAATGCTAGGTGTCATTCAGGACACTCTCATAAGAGTATCAAGGGAAAATACCGTCTATTTAGTCACACTGTTATTTGAATAAAACTCATTTCTCTATTTTAGCAAAAACCAGTTTCCCAAAGCAGTGTTTTTCATGCAACACCAAGTTATTTTTGTTAGAACTCACATTGCTTTCTCTGAAGATGTGTTTGGTTTTTTTTCAGCAATGTCAAGCTACCTCTTTATTATTAAATATGAACTTCCTGAAGTGATCAGAGCATTTATGAAACTTGAGGAGAGCTCTGGGTAGGTATCTTTGCCAAACCCAAACCTCAGCTGAAAAAAAAATTTCAATTTTATGTCAATTATACTGATTGATGTTTCTTATTCCCCCTCTTTAGAGAATGGTACCTAGATGGAAACTACCTCGTCATACTCGTAACTGTTGCAATTATTCTTCCCCTTTCCCTTCTAAAGACCCTAGGTAAGCTTAATGTCCCACTTAACCTCATTTCTTTTCTTTTAGGATTGTGAATTTACACGTAGCTGAACTGTTGTTTGTTTTTTTCTCCTGCTGCACAGGTTATCTTGGTTATACGAGCGGATTTTCGCTGACCTGTATGGTTTTCTTCGTCAGTGTGGTAGGTGACTGTTTGGGCATGGTCTCTAAGCAAATACGGAGCCTGTAAACTGTGACACACTGTTATATTTCTTACCATGGTAATTTAATGTGTTAGAATAGCTCCTGCAAGTGAATCAAATAGATAAGTCTATTGCTAAATGAAGCCAGGATAAAAATGATCAGCCTAGAAAACAACACTTGAGAATAAAATATAAAGCTGGGCAATGGCAGAGACAGGTAACAAGAAATACTCACAGTAGAACCACAAGTGTTAGCACTTATTTCTTGCTCCCTCTTTTTCTCCTTTGTCTTTTGTGTGTCTTCTTCTGTTGCATAAACAACAAAAGTTGTTTATACTTCTGCTAGCATACCTGGGTATAAGTGTAATCCCCTATGGCAGTACTCTTCTGATGGCATTGTCTACTCTTTTGTAGGTAATCTTCAAGAAATCCCAAATACCCTGTCCCCTCCCCATCATGGAACATGGGGTTGAAAACTGGACCGCCACCAACAACACAGTGCCGATGCACCTGGTCATGTTACCAAATGATTCTCTCAGTTCTGGAGTGAACTTCATGATGGACAACACAGCTGGGCACTTGCCAGGCCTGGAGGAGCCAAAAGATACCTCTTCCAAAAGTGGTGTAGAGTATGAAGCACACAGTGACAGTAGTGACCTGTGTCAGCCAAAATACTTTGTGTTTAACTCACGGGTAAGGGAAATTCTGTAGAATTTGTCTTTAGCTATTTGTACCACAGCTAAACTGCTGCCCACCAAAAGTCAGAGGTACAGCAGTGACCATTCTTACTAATGGGAGCTTTATTTTACAGACTGCCTATGCAATACCCATCCTGGCATTTGCATTCGTATGCCACCCTGAGGTGCTACCCATATACAGTGAACTGAAAGAGTAAGGTTCTTAAATTTTGTCCCATACTTCCAGTTAACCATAGCTAGAGATCACTTTCTACATGCTCTGCCTTGATTACTGGTGTGCAGACACCCACCTGCTAATGATTTATTGCTCTCCATAGTAAGCAGATAATGGCTTTGCTTTGACTTAATAGACAGATATTGGTGACAGAGAACCACTGTTCAGATAGATATATCGATTGACGTTTACTTACAGAAGCAGGAATCTGTACAGTCCTTTGAACGATGTGAAACGTACTGGGGAACTGGGTGGCACTGAAAGAGATAATTCTGTTTTCTAATAGTATCTTAATGAGTTCTGTGTCTGGGTCAGCTGCTGCTTACTCAAGGTTTCTTAGGATGCCATTGGTTTGAATGTCTTACATAGAGTTTTCATCCAGCCTAGTTTGTTTATCAGATATCAAAAATCAAATAAACTTGCTTAAATCAGCATAAGAAAGGGCTAAGAAAAAGCATTTGTTCAAGAGCAAGAATTAAATTACTGAAGGTTACACTGCAAAACTCAAGGAAGCTAAGACCCATTGCCTCCTATTTCAGCAGATTTAACCTCAGAAGAAATAAAAGTTCTCAGATGACTTGGGAATATGCTTCCAGGTCCTATAAGCTGAAGATTTTGTTAGACTAAATCTTTAATGAAACAACTTCTAAAGAAAGAGTTTGACCTGCAGGAAGTTCTTGAACCTGCAGAACAGCCCTTTGTATATGTACAGACATGTTAATAGAGAGTTGACAGAAAGCTCTTGTCTATTATTAATACCAACCCTGTATCTCAACCACTTCATTTTTGATTTAAAATGCAGTATTTGAGATTGATAGTATTTCAATAGTGATATACAAAATAATGTGGCACATTTATGTATTGTCACTAGGTGAGCAGTAGAAATGGAGTTTCCACACACTTTTATAAGTCTATGTTGTTTTGCACAGAAGTGTGAAGTGTCAAGTAAAGAGCTCTGCATAACCAATGCACTCACTATGAACTTATTAGCCAGTGAAAGGATGTCAGTAGAGCTATGACTCTTCAGAGTATTTCTTGTACAACTAGAGGCTTTGTAAGAATAGCACTGCTACTCTCTTTCTCTCCTACTTCAGTCGCTCCCGAAAGCGGATGCAGAATGTCTCAAATATCTCCATCACTGGTATGCTTATCATGTACCTTCTGGCTGCCCTCTTTGGATACCTTACCTTTTACGGTAGGTTAAAGCCCTATTCTCTGCAGAATTTTCTCTCTCATTTTAAAGCGGGAAAAATGGTTCAATCACACTGGGGCTCAAGGGTTTGTGCATTTTCTATCCAGGTGTAAGCATTATTGGAATACTCGGTGGGTTACCTCCTGAATAAATGGTGGGACTCTTCCAGCTCTCAGGCCACAAGCTCCTCACTCAGGAGATTCAGAAGCACCTACTAGGGAGTTGTGTGTGCATCTCTTGGTTTTGTGAACTCAGAGAATAAACTTGGCTCTTGGCAAAGGCCAAGAGTGACTGTACTAAAAATACTCTCATAATCAACAGTTTTACATGACACTATTAAGTGCTACCCACCTTGGCTCTGACGCCACTAATTCAGGTTCACCTGTGCTGAAAAACAGGTTGCAAATCATCCTAGTGTAAAAACAATATGGATGAAGTAGACTAACTGGTGGGTAAACAGAGTAGCCCCTGCATTAGCACAACATTTTTTGCAAACGCCACGTCTTTTTACCTCGTTAGTTCCTCCGTTACAAGAGAGAAGTGAATGACACAGCACAATCTGCTCTCTTGCCGCTGGGGCAGGAGGCTCTGTCTGAGAGCTGGGACACCTGGGTGGAGGTCAAAGGGAGCTGTTCCCACTTCAGTGAGTTGTTTCCTATTTTGTATCAGAGAAATTATTTTTACCTCAGGTTCCACATCCACTTAATGACTTTGAGAAAGTAATTTGAGATACTGGAGTGCAAAGCATCACCTCAGAACCATATTAGCCTCATCGTCTCTGAATGACGGACTTGTATCAGTCATGCTGGGAAAATTCCTCTTTCGTGCCTAGCCTATAAAGTGTATCTGATGACAGCAGCTGGGCCAATGCTAATCTTATCTGGCTGTAATATAAAGATCTTTTTGCACGTGCAGATATTGCTCAAGAGATTTAACTCCTTTCTGTTTCCATTTCATAGGAGAAGTTGAAGATGAGCTACTCCATACCTACACCAAAGTGTACACCTTCGACACCCTCTTGCTGTCAGTTCGCCTGGCAGTGCTGGTGGCTGTAACCCTGACTGTGCCCCTTGTCCTTTTCCCCGTAAGTTACACAGCTGCTGAAGCTGAAATCAGGGCTAGCCCATATGCACTGATTGTATTTACTCAGCACAGACACACTTTAACATTGAAGAAAAGCAAGCCTGAGTTTTTATTTGGGAGGGTCTGTTTTCTCATATGCAGTTCAGCTAGAGAAAGGACCTTACATAGTTAGGGTTGCAAACTTTCAAAGACTGAAATAAATCAGTCTTTATAAATAAATCAGAAATAAATCAGGAACAACTTCCCTGCCTCCCTCTGGCTCTCTCTGTACTATATTTATCAGAGAAGCAGTGTAAGTACCAAAGACTTGGGGATATACTGAAACCACTTATGAGGTTTCCTAATACAGACATAAGTACCTACTATGGCAGCCAAACTCCAGACACGTGCAGCTCAGGCCACATGCTGTGTAGTACTTCAAGACCTAGCTGCCAAGGTAGAGGGACAGAGGCCCCGTGCACATCTTACATGCTTAAGTTTTTGGACAGGGGAAGAAGCTAAGTGCCAGAAAACAGTGACAGTCAAGACTCAGTCACGCTGTCAGATGTCTGAGAAAATTTTGGAGTTTCTAGGTACTGCTCACAGTGAAAAAAGCAATATCCACAGTAGAAGGGACAGAAAGACACTGCTAAACAAACTGCTCTGAAGAAGGACTGACCCTCCTCAGGGATCAATCCCCACCTGAAGAGAACACCTGCAGGCTTCTGAATGTACAGGACTGTCCTTCGTGCCTTCCCCGAACTGCTACACAGCAGGGGAGAAAATAGTTGATCCCGGTCATTAAGTTTAGTGAGGCTGATGTGCTATTCGTGTGGCACATATAAGCCCAGCATCATGCTGCTGGCAGGCTCCTGGCAATCTACGTCATACCATGATGCTCCTGTCTGATGAGAGCAGTTACCCTGGGGCCCTGTTGCTCCCTTGTCCTAGATATAAACATGAGGGGGGCTTCCAGGCTTGCTGACAAATACCCAAGAGGAGTGATCACCATTCAAGGTTGCCTACAAAAAAAAAAAAAAGTTCTGGTACAAAGCACCCAGAGTGATCAGTACAGCTAGCTTAGAGCTCTCTGGTGCTCTGCCTCAAATGTCATGTTTAAGCCAGTAACTAAATGCTTAAATAAATCTTAACTAACTGATAACTCTCTGTGGGAAAATTAGCTAAGGGTATGGCAAAAGCCTCTATCTGTCAGATGCAGCACTTTGCAGTTCTAGCTTTCTGTATAATCACTTTACATGAACAGTGAGCAAAAGCTTAGCAGTTACATACCAGAGCAGTAGTTGCTCTATTAAAAGAGCTCCCAAGAAAATGTCATTTGCTTTGTAAGCCAGTACATCAAACAATTTCATATGGCCTGTCAGGACAGCCAGCTCAGCAGATCTAATTAGTCCAAATAAGGAGTATAGTTGTCAACTACGTTTTTTAATGAACTACCATGTTTATATTTACTTAAAGTAGTCAGAGATTATTGGTTTCTTTAAAAAACTAAATCATTGCATTGCTAAAAAAAAATAGAGAGAGAGAGATTGATTGATGTACTATTAGTCACTATAAAACTTCAGTTTGATAGCTTCATTCTAAAGACTATGATACAGAAGGAATAAAGCACCAAAGGTTGACAATAAGTGAACAGGAATGCAGGCAGCAGTTCTTTGGTGGAATAAAGCTGTTTACACAAACTCAGTTTTTGCAATCTGCCTTCCTCTTCCTAATATTAGCTCACATCAACCTGAAAAACATGAAGTGTATAATTCATGCTGTGTTTTCAAATGATGGGCTCCAAGTCTGACAGAACCCCATACATTTATTGAATTGCCAAACCCCTCAAGAAACAGTTGTCTGTTATTTTAAAACAACCAAACAGGACTGAGTTTTGAGCTTCTTTTCAATGTAAAAACATTTTTGTCCAGCTACCACATTTTAAAACTTTTCAATTAACCACATTGTTCTGAGTAACACTATTTCCTTCTACCAAAGGGATTTGTTCTTAACCTCTCTCCTACTTACCACCTTTGCTGATGAAAAGGAAAACGATCCTCTGTGTTGTATGAGAAAGTCATCATAGAAAAAAAAAATCCTCTATGATCAGTTTTAGGATTATAATTGCCAAGTGACATTGAAAAATATGTAAGTGGCATTGAAAAATATGCTTTTGAAAGATATATATATGTATATATTTAATGGTAGCAAAGCAACAGCTTACTCTTTCACAAAAGTGAATGACAGAACTCCTGTGGGATTTCCAGAGGAATCAGGTTCAGGAATACAGCAACTCATATTTCATGCGTGCATTTTTTGCCTGTTGATTTGAGTTCATAGTGGAGGTTTCTATGTGGTTTTTTTTTCTGAAGCTAGTATCTTTCAGTTGAATAGATTTCATGTCCCTGATTTTCTACCTTATTTGATTGACTTTCTTCTACGCTGCAAACATTTGAGCTTCTGTATTAAACTGTGAATCTAGTTCTCAAAAGCCTACATCAGAGTGAGATTACATTAAGGGACTCAAACACTGAAAACACACTTCTTCAGTCAGAATTTCCCACAGCAAAAGCAAGTAGAATAGATAATTTTTTAAAAATGAAAAGCAAAGATAAATTAATTACTGTTTTACTTTCCCTGCTGGTTTTCATCTTCAGATCCGTTCATCTATCAGTGCGTTGCTGTTTCCCAAAAGGCCATTCAGCTGGATAAGACATTTCCTGATTGCAGCAGTAATTCTTGCTTTTAATAACCTGCTTGTAATTTTTGTCCCAACTATTAAAGACATCTTCGGATTTATTGGTAGGTTTTGTAAATACTTTTCCTTTACTCGGTTAATCCTTTTCACAACATATTTACATTCATACACTGAATGACAGTCTCAGTTTGGGTGTTACATGGAGTAATATAAGCATAGATTAAAATTAAAAGGTAAATAAATAATCCCCAACAGTTGACAGACAAAGCTAAACACTACCCAACTTCATTGCTACCTTTCATGAAGCACAAGGAATCCAATAACCCCAGCATAAAAACTGGTAAGAAATTCCCATTTTGACAAAGAGTCATTTAGTGCATGTGGAGGAGGGGGAAAACACCTCTGGTTTTCAAGCATCTGTAGACTGGACAATATGTATTGACTTCCAAACTGTGATGTTAAAAAAAAAGAGAAAAATGACAAATTTAATTTGATTTTCACAATTCTCTCCCTACCTCTTTCTTCTGGCCAGCTTTGGCCTCTGACCAAAGAGGTTTATGAAGACTGTCCATGCTCTGAGGTGCTTGTGGACTCAGGGATGCAGATGCCCTGGAGAAAGAAACCTTCATGGGGTTTCTGCCTTTTCGATTTCTTACAGTCCGCACCAGCAGCCCATTTGCTTTTCCCTGCCTTTTGCACCCAAGCCACAGCACTGGGCTCTGCTGAGAGGAGAGTAGCTACTTCCAGAGCACAAGTCATCCACTCCCTTTTCAACACCTGCTTTCCAGGGTCATCACACCCTGGGAGTGCCTGTTTGTCCTCACTTCACCAGCTCACATGCAGTCGTCCGTGTCACAGGCAGCCACGCTGGTTTGAACAAATCCTCTCAGTAACGAGTGCCTCTTTGGACACCCAGAGCTCTGCACAAATACTGGCTACAGAGAGAGAGCCCTTCATGCAGCTGGGCTTGGACGGGCAGCTGCCTCACCACAAGCTCACCTTTGTGGGTGCACCACATTGCTTATGGTTTAGATGGCATGGTACTCAGCTCTGCTTTCTCTTTCAGGTGCCTCTTCTGCTACAATGCTGATTTTCATCCTCCCTTCTGCCTTCTACCTGCGAATTGTTGAAAAGGAGCCCCTGAGGTCTCCCCAGAAGATTGGGGTAAGGGATCTGGCAGCAACTGGAAAACGAAGGGTGGGAGGATGTATGCTTTCCACTGTTCACAAACATTCAGACCTCTGGCTTGCAACATCTGACAGTTGCTCATAAATGGCAGCGCCTCACTCAAAATACAGGTTGGGCAGTGTGATCCACCTTAGTGTGGAGAGCCAGGCTTCACAAGCCAAAGACTTCAGTGCCCTACTGATACACAACAGGAAGTGTCTTGGTTAAAGTGTGTCTTAAGTCACTAGTGTCACAAGTGACAATAAATGTCTTTTTAGACATTTGTTTAATCCGATCTAAGCTCCAGTTCGCACCTGCACTTGCACAAGTAACACCAAGACAGTGTACAAGGAGCTGTTGGTTCACACTAGAGGGCCGGCTGCAGATTAACAGGAAGATCTGAGGTCAAGGTTAAGAAGCAAGTTCTACTGAGGAGATAATTAAGTAATAGTGAGTTCCTCACTAAGACAGATCCATACACTTACAGAAGACATATATGAAGGTCTGTCATTTATACACAGCATGTGTTTACGTCATGCTAGACTGATGCAGCAGTACCTTTCATCCTGAACATCAATAGCTACCTGCACATTTAACAATATCACCAAGGAGATGTCCTTTGAAAATTTAATTGGAAAAGTTGTTGCTTAAATATATATGCAGGCACACAATGTAAACAGATGTTCATATATACATCTATATAGATGTTCACAAAAAACTTGGAAGTCAAATTTCAACCAATACTGCAAGTATAAAAGAAAAAAGGTTTATCATAAAATGATTTCTGACTGTGACTTTTGGAGCTGTTATTATAGAGAGACTGAATGTTTGTTCATGTCTTTGCTCATTTTTCTTGTTGCCATGTGTTAGGCATGTCTAGAATTTCACACCTTACACTGAAATCACATACAATATTCATCTTTGTGTTACAAGGCAGAATATTGTTAAATGCAAATAGATTACAGTAAACTAAAGCCCTGCTAAGGCAAAGAGTGAATACAAGCATCTAAATCACTTGAATAGATACAGAAACGCTTTCAGAGGAGATGGGCTTACCTATTTGTCTAATAAGGATAAAAAGGATTAACTCTGAAGCTATTCTTGACAGAAACAATGATCATTCATTGAAAATTGGTCAGTTTTTAAAGAAAAACAAAAACTGTTCCTCTATTATAATTCTTATTATTTTCATAGTAACCAAGTGAGGCTTTCTCTAGTCTTGTAAAACCTGCCTCTCTTGGACCGAAATTCACACAGGACTAACTTTGATTCACATAGCCATGTGTGACATAATTTGGGCTCCAGTCATGGAGAATGACCCAAACCCCGGCCCTAGGTGCTACATAAATGTGGCTCCAGTGGGACAGTCTGTATACTACAGTCTGCTCGGTCACCTGCTTTATTAATAAAATCTCATTTTCAATTTCAGGCTCTAATTTTTCTCATACTTGGCATAATCTTCATGTTTGTGAGTATGACTCTTATTGTAATGGACTGGATTTACAATTCCCCAAGTTCAAGACATCACTAACCTGTGGAGATGATTGAAAGCTTTTTATATCATAAATATTTGTATTGTGTGCTCCGAAGGACACCTAAATGGGACTGTTATTCCTAGCTAGTAACTGTAGTATTTTGAAGACAGTTCCTGGTAAGGTCACCAGAACCCAATGGAGTCTGCATCATCCTTTTCACCAAGGATCATTATTTATGCATTAGGAACCTGACCTTAGCATTTCTGGTCAGGTGAAATGAAATGTGCAGTGTGGATGCTTTCTATTTTCAAAACCAAAATAACTGTGTACATAGTCCTCAAAAATAGCTTGGTGTCACCCTTTTCAACCTCTCCCATCATACTAATAACTACTGTTCCTAGAGCCCTAGAAAGGTAACAGCCAGAAAACCACTAGTGCCTTGTTTTCTAGCTGAAGCTTGTGGGAGTGGCTGCCCCCGTCCAAGAGAAAGGGTACGGTTTCTTTAGGGGATCTGAAAGGTGACTGCTCCCTATCAACCTGTCTATCAGAAAGATGACAAGCCAGTGGACAAAGCTGAGCATCAGATTGGTTGCCCAAATGCATCACCCTTGGCAGGTGATGGCTGTTGTACAGAATAAAACTCTCTGGCTAGATCCTGTACCAAGGAGTGTGCTTGAAGAACAGTTGACCAGTCACGTTTCTTGATAAAGATGCTTGTGCTGGAAACGTTCTGCTGTGGTTTTTTTTTTTTTGTTTTCTTTACTTTTTTATTCTTGTGTGAGCTTGCATCACTGAACAAGTTGAATCCTCCATAGAAACTTGTCTTCCATTCTCATGGGAATTTAAGGAGACCACAAGGTGTGACGAAGCACCCTATCCAGTATTTTTCACTACTTGTGTATTTCATAAATGTTCAGTGCAGGAAACTGTAATTTGCTATATATAAAAATACATGTATTTATGTACATATTTTTTTTGTTTTCCTCTAGTTATAAAAATGTTACCCTGTGGTAAATGATTTTTGAATTTTTTTTATGTGTCACTTTGTTTTCATAGCCACACACTTAATATTGTTTTGAAGAAAACATATTGGATTGGTGGGTTTGTAAAAGGTTCGCTGAGCAGCGTTTGAAATATACCTGTAGTAAACCCTATCTCTTACCTGTGTAAAAACACACTCAGATGTTTACTACTTACACTACAATAAATAGCAAGATGTTTACCTCGTGAGAAGTTTTAATATGTGCCTCAGAGTTCTTTATCACCGTTGTACGCCACAAATTTGGATAATTTGCTGAGTTGCTGTACCTTAGCTTGTTTATGCATATGCTAGCATTCCACAACAAACGTATTTAAGGTATGCAAAGGAGAAGGCATTACTGACCATGCTCTGCAGCTGTGCAAGACAGGAAAAAAAAAAAAAGGTTAAGTTCCATGTAATGTGGACGTTTACTGGAGACTCAGCACACTCCAGATTATGATTCTCGCTGTGCTGATCAGTACCCACTACATGTGCTCTCTGTCCACACCAGGGAATAATAGTCAGAGAAGGCACATTAACTTGATAGCACAGGGAATGAGTGGGAAGGTGCAACTATTGCTTTTAAAACACTTACACAAATCCAGGCTCATGTAATCGGCGTTTTCATTTTCCAACTTAGAAATCTGTTGAGTACACACCTGTGAACTCAGAAAGCCACAAAGCACACAAAAGTTGTCTCTGCTGGCTCCTCTACTTTGCACAAAATTCTGTGTGTGTATAACTGTGTGCATACTTACAGGTTAACTGGACAAATACATGAAACATATATTCTAGGCCAACTATTTTTCTAAGCAGTATTTTATGCTCACTTGAGTATTGTATCCTTAATATAATGGGGCATGCTTCCTCATAAATGCTGTCTGGCTTTGCATTTTAAAAAGAAAAAAGGTGACTAATCTTTTGATCTGTTTTAAGCAGACTAATACAACCCAAGCTGCATTATTACTGAAAAGATCTTTTATACAGCCTAGAGTTAACAGCAACACATCCACACACCTCTCTCACTGTTCCCATTACTGAGAGTCTGATGCATGAAAGAACTGAACTGTAACTGGATCTTTGCTTCAGAGCCAAAGCACATATAGTGATTATGGCTGCATGTAGAAACGTACGAATTCATGTAGCTCACCTAAAATATGGATGGCTTCAAGAACAGTAATAGAAAAGCTATGAAACAATGACATAACTCACTGCCTTTCCATGGCACAAAACTGTCAGTGTCCAGAGTCCAGGTAGAGAGTCTGTGAAATGTAAATCTTTCAAGTTAAAATATGTTAGTCACAGCAATATGCAGCTGCTGTGCACACTGGGAGTAAGGGTAGTATTGCACACTAACTTATTAGCACTGCTGGGAACGGTAGAAGTTGGAGTTTCTTGTTCATTTTATAATGTTGACGGTAGGCCTTGTGAGGGTTGTTATTACAAAACCATCCATGCGTGTATAATAAATGAATTTTTCAAAGACTGTAGATCTTTTTTTCTTCTGTTTTAGGCTAGCAGGAGAAGGATTGGTCTCTTCTTACATGCCACAGCTGACAGGACAAGAGGAAATGCTATTGTTACACCAGGGGAGTTTTAGGTTAGACATTAGGAAAAACTTCTACACCAAAAGGGTGATCAAACATTGGAACAGGCATCCCAGGGAAGTGGTTGAATCACCATCCCTAGATGTGTTTAAAAGCTATCTAGATAGGGTGCTCAGGGATACGGTGTAGAAGTAGCCTGTTACAGTTATATAACAGTTGGACTCAATGCCCTTAAAGGTCCTTTCCAACCATAGTGATTCTGTGATTTTTTTTTTTCTTAAATCAACATGAGTCAAACTGGAATCCTTAGCATGAGCCTCACTAAAACTGCATCCCCTTTTAAGAGAGAAATTTGTGTATCCACATACGTGCAGATGAGCAAGATGACATCCCCTTCATATAACAACCCTTTTGCATACCCTGCTCTGTATCTATTCAGGGACCTGCACAGACATCACTGGCTAGAGAATGGCTGGCGTGAAAAGTGGGGTTATCTGCGAGATACTGAATGTCTCGCTCTCCGGAGCGTGGGATTAACCAGGATACACAGTATAGAAGCTAAGTATAGTCACTATTAGGAGCATGCACCAGATGGTACCACTCTGTATAAATACTTCCTATCACTGCAGCTGTAGATTTTCCTGCTGTTACATATTTGTCTGCTGTATAATTGTACCCCAGAATACACTAGTCTACGTGTCGCTCCAGCACCAATGAGCTCACGTGAGAATGACGCCCGCAGACCCAGTCAGGCAGCATCTGCAGCCTGCCCGCTGCTGAGGGAGGCACTGCAGACCCAGATGCTTGCTCAACACGACACCAACACCCTCCCCAATTTTCTCCTTCCCTTGTGCTTAGGTATCCTTCGTTCCCTGCAGCATCTCCTTTGCTTTGCCTTGACAGTGTGTTCTGCCAATGACCAGGCCCAACAAAAATTATACCACCAGCAGAAAGAGAATCCAATACACAGACTGTATTGTACACAAAAAGGACATTCCATGAATGATTGCTGGGGGTACAAACAGATCAATCAGCTGGTACATGATGCCACCCCCAATGATCCCACAAAAGATGTGACTCGGCCCACAACAGGCCGTATAAACAGTGAGCTGAGGTTGCCCATAGCTGGTATGGGAAACAGCCAGTTAAATACATAAGAGAAAGGTGCCCACATGGCGACTCTCACCCAATCGACCCGCATTCACAAAGGTCTGAAGCAGACCAGGGCCCAGCTCCAGGGAGAGTCAGGAGGTCTGCCCTGAACCAGGAAGCTCTGGGGAGGGCACTCCACAGACAGACACTCCTGACTCCCTGCAAGTGGTCCCAGCTTTTATCCCCAAGCAGACCCCTGACCTTTGTCAACTCATTGCAGGACCCCTGGGGCTCATTTCCCTTCTGGCGCACCCTGGGGGGAAGCTCTAAGGCAAACTCACCACCTCTTTATGAAGGGCTGTGGGAATCACCCATATGTCAACCTTAATTCAGGGCTCAGGGTTCAAACCCCAGCATTTCACAGTTTTTGAACTGGACATTTCTTGAGGTAGGAGGTTGTTTTAATTAAACAATTTAAATTGTGGCAAGTGAATGAGGGGAGTTTAAAACAAGGAAAAGGCATGTCTTCAAAGACAAAGAAGAAAGCAATGAAAATGTATTAGAAATTTTAGTGGTCATAGAGGTGTATCATTAAATGGACATGACAAGAATGCCAGAAATGAGAAACTGATTCAGCTCTGGATTTGGAAAGAGGCAGAACAAGGGACACTCATTAGAGGGCAAAGTCCTCTCTAACCCATAAATAATCAAAGATGATGTTAAACAACATCTGTCTGAAAGAAGGGCAGCAGGCCTAGATAAGCCACAAAGCAGCTAGCTCTGGTGCTAATTTTCAGCAAACCCTGGCATGCTTGGTTAGTTCTCAATGGCTGACACAATAGTAATTACAGCTAGTCAGCAACTACTAAGAGGTCTAGTTGGTGCTATAGGTGGAAAATTTCCATTCATTTGACTTTAAATTTCAATGGAAGTTTCACTGAAAATGTGCTATTTAAACAAAATTTTGGCAGAGCCCAGTCAGACCCAAGTGGAAACCTGCCTGGATTTCCATTAACCTGCCTGCCAAGGTACTGGGGACTCACAGGGCTTATAGCTCTTGGTCTCCTCCTCCCCTGGCAGCTGAGTCCCCCAGGAGGGGCTCCTGCAATAGGGTCAGCCTGCTGACAGTCCAGGCAGCCCAGGTGCTTTGGCTTGGGGTCCAGAGTGAGCTCAGGGCCACAGTTTCCTCCCATGGAGCCTGGCCTTAGTGCTGTGGTGACAATCCTGTTGATATTTCCATGCTATACTGTGCTGTCCAGTTGCATCCTTAAAAAAAAAAAAAAAATGGAGAATATTTTTAGTTAATTAAATTATCATTTACTGCAAACACTTAAGAGCTTGTGCTGAAACTAGGTGATAAATACTGTTTTCATAAGAGCATGGGAAATATTAAGCT